TAATTGTAAACTGTTGAAAGCTATATATATATATATAAATAAAATGTGTAAAATCATAAACACAAAATCACTGTTTCTATAATATACTAGGAAATTTAGAAATAAGAAGTCACACTTCTAAATTTAAGATATTGCTTTTATCTCACTAGTCAAATACACAGTGTTATCCAAATTTACTTTTATATCACTAAGCATGAGACACGTATTAATTGGGTTAAATTCTTGATGTTGGAACTGGTAACTTTACTAACATCATATTTAATTTCTTCATCAGAATAAAGATGTATTTTAGAGTTCACTTAAGAGTTTTTACTGTAGTTCCTCTATCTTATTTAGAAATAAAAGCATATTTAAAATTTTCATTCATTCATTTAATAAAGTATATTTATATATCTGAAATTATGCTGGGTCTGGCAATAAGATGAAAAAGATATATCCCTTCTGTCAAGGAGTTGGTACACAATTACAATACTGTGTGATGAATGTGGTAATAGATCTATATATAGAGAAACTCTGCCTCTAAAAGTGATGCACGTTCAAGAACTTAATATTAAAGTGTGAGTTCATGTCGACCAGGGAGCTAAAGCAGGGAATAGCGTATGCAAAGTCACAGAGGCTTGGAATAATATAGCATATTTGAAGAACACAAAGGAGTTCAGTATAACTATAATGAAAGTTCCTTATTGGAACACTGAAGAAGATAAAGTTTTAAACATTGAAAGGAGACAGAAAATATCAATTGCACTTCCCTAGAGATAAATTAATAAAAATATTGAAACAGAGTAGCCTGTGGTAAAATTCTAACTCTTTCTAAGCATAACTAAAAAATACATCCTTTTTTTTCTGAATGATTAAGTGATATATTAGCTAATATAATGCAATATGGTCAAAACAAGACATAGCATCTTCCATTCTTGGATGGGTCATGAATGGAGGAAGAATATTTTTTACAAAATAGGAAGAAAAATGAGATATAACTGACGAATTATTAATATAGAATAAAATTTCACAGATACTAAGAAACAAACACCGTAACATTTATATATTAAGCAATCAGGTGCAAATAACAATAACAGTGGCAGTTTTCACGTTAGTGTGTACTCTATAGTAACACATCTAAAGAAACGTCCTGACCTACCAACAGAAAAAAATCTCCGTCTTCTGAAATCTGGCAGTAGTCATTTCCAAATATTCATCCATTACAATTTCAAAGGGAAACTTAAAAAAAAATCTAGACTTCTCAGCTCTATTTTAGAACATGGGGATATGTGATTAGGGAACAAAAATATTAACTGGACATTTAAAAAACAGAACAGAAATCTTTAGATTATTCTAATAAAATGCCAGATTTAGCTACCTCAGTCCTATAAATGTGTGTGTCATTTCTACAATGCATTACATCATTCAAGTCTTAATAATATGCATACAAATTTCCTCCATTGAATATGTTTTATTCTGTTTGTTAATTTCTGTATAGAAAACATTGCATAATATTATGTCTGACACCTACGAATACTTATTTAATAAATACATTTATTTTTTCAATCAATATTCAAAAATTTATATATGTATATATGCATTTAAAAGTATATATGATGCAGAAAACTGAAACTGGACCCTTTCCCTACACTTTATACAAAAATTAACTCAAGATATATTAAAGACTTAAATGTAAGACCTAAAACCATAAAAACCCCAGAAGAAAATCTAGGCAATACTGTTCAGGACATAGGCATGGGCAAAGACTTCATAACTAAAACACCAAAAGCAATGTCAACAAAAGCCAAAATTGACAAATGGGATCTTAATTAAACTAAAAAGCTTCTGCACAGCAAAATAAACTATCATCAGCGTGAACAGGAAATGTACAGAATGGGAGAAATTTTTTGCAATCTGTCCATCTGACAAAGCAATAATATCTGGATTCTACAAGGAACTTAAACAAATTCACAAGAAAAAACAACCCCGTCGAAAAGTAGGTGAAGGATATGAGTAGACACTTCTCAAAAGAAGACATTTATGCAGCCAACAAACATATGAAAAAGAGCTCATCATCACTGGCCATTAGAGAAATGCAAATCAAAACCACAACGAGATAACATCTCACACCAATTAGAATGGCAATCATTAAAAAGTCAGGAAACAACAGGTGCTGGAGAGAATGTGGAGAAATAGGAACACTTTTACACTGTTGGTGGGAGTGTAAATTAGTTCAACCATTGTTGAAGACAGTGTGGCAATTCCTCAAGGATCTAGAACCAGAAATACCATTTGACCTAGCAATCCCATTACTGAGTATATACCCAAAGGATTATAAATCATTCTACTATAAAGACACATGCACATGTATTTTTATTGCAGCAGTGTTCACAATAGCAAAGACTTGGAACCAACCCAAATGCCCATCAATGATAGACTGGATAAAGTAAGTGTGGCACGTATACACCATAGAATACTAAGCAATCATAAAAAAGGATGAGTTAATGTCCTCTGCAGGGACATGGATGAAGCTGGATGCCATCATCCTCAGCAAACTAACACAGGAACAGAAAACCAAACACCGTATGTTCTCACTCATTAGTGAAGATGAACAATGAGAGCACATGGACAGGGGGAAGAACATCACAAAATGGGGCCTGTCGGGGGATGGGGGCCTAGGGGAGGGATAGCATTAGGAGAAATACCTAATGTAGACGATGGGTTGATGGGTGTAGCAAACCACCATGGCATGTGTATGCCTGTGTAACAAACCTGCATATTCTGCACATGTATCCCAGAACTTAAAAGTATAATAATTTTAAAAAAGTATATATGAGTAATAGATATTTTTCTCTCAGCATTTATCATGCTTCTCTCAGTTATATAAACAATATTTACTAGCCTTCCAACTTTTCAGAATGTCCATTTATTGTTATTGAAATATAATAGATTTTCCTCCTCACAACTAATTACTACCTGATAGTATATATGATATACAACATGGTTCAGATATATAATAATTCAACACTATTGTTTATATTTAATCTGCTGAAGTGAATATAACCATACTGCACCAAAATATTAGATCAAAACATTCTTCAAACTTCAGTAATGTTTATTTATTGTGAAATTGAAATGATAAAATTAGACTTACTGGGCATTAGGACTATAAAACTAAGACATATTTCTCTGTAACCCTAATCAGAAACAGTCTATCAAGAAACAGTCAATGTATCTGGATAATTTGGTTAATCAAATGAAATGTACTCCACATTCAATTAATTGCCATGAATTCAGTTTAGATTCTATAAATTATTTTAGTCATATTTAGATTTATTTCTTCATTTAATTTAGTACAACACACCTATGAGCTAGGTTCTATAATTTCCGTTTGATAAATGATACAATGAATGCCCTAAGAGTTTAAGTAGTTGGCCTATGGTCACACAGTTAGTACAGCACAGCCAAATATAGGATTTGGACCTAAATCTGTCCTTTCTGACTTCATCTAACTTCATTCTATGAGTGATATATAAATGGGGAAAAATTCTTAAGGAAATTATGTGAAAACTCTACCACTGTATGTGATTACATACAACTTATCTTCAAACCTGAAACACTTGGGCTTAAAAAAAAATTTAATTTTATTGGACCCAAGCTCAGATTTCTAAATTACTGAGAGGGTCCAGAGAGATGATTTGATAAAATATCCCACAGCTGTCTATGACTTACCTAGATTAAGAATGATAGACTGTGGAAGACTCGGATTTCCCAAATGCAACATTTGGTCAACCAGTATAATATATGAGGTTGGTAAGTTAAGTATTTGTCTAGAAACAAATAATAATAGAAGGTAACATATGTTCTTTATAATTTACTTTCTATCATTAAAGCTGGAAAAGTTTTGATTCGTTAACATATATATGATTTTTTGTCTTTCATATATATATCAGCAGATATAAAATCCTTATTGCATAATTAAATTCCGTATACATACATGTATGTGTATTATATGTACTTATGCATAATTTGACATTACATTATAAAGCTGATGCCAAATAGATATTGATGTTTGTTTGCCAAAACAGATACTTTGTTTTGGTATCCTTGATTCAATTTTTGATTCAGTGGAAATTTTCTATATATTCTGTCAAAATTTCTATGCCTGACATGAAATAAGTTAAACTCCATTTTAACTTTCAGGATTTAAGATTAGAGATGAAAGGCCAGGCACTGTAATTAGAGATTACAGTGGCTCACGCCTGTAATCCCAGCACTTTGGGAGGATGAGGTGGGCAGATCATGAGGTCAGGAGTTCGAAACCAGCCTGACCAACATGGTGAAACCCCGTATCTACTAAAAATACAAAAATCAGCCAGGCATGGTGGCGCACACCTGTAATCCCAGTTACTCAGGAGGCTGAGGCAGGAGAATCGCTTGAACCCGGGAGGCGGAGGCTGAAGTGAGCCGAGATTGTGCCATTGTACTCCAGCCTGGGTGACAGAGCAAGACTCCGTACCAAAAAAAGAAAGATTAGAGATGAAATATCCACATAGTGTTTATATAGTGCCTTTAATTTAAAAGTAAATTCATAGATTATCCTTTGGAAGAGTTTAATGGTATTTACTGTTTTAGTTAAAATGCTGACCACTGTTTTCTAGTCATGTTACTCTTTGAGATCTGAGAAAAACACAGGGCTTATATACCATCCTCATTAAGCAAATTCTAGTGCATCAGAAGTTTTATATATATGACATGTTTCAATATATCTTATAACTTATTCTATGTAGAGCAACGTGGTAAAAGTGGAGCTAACAGAGCTGTTTTAGTTGTTTATGTATTACAGATTTTCTGTTCATGAAAATAAAAATCAATAACATTATTCAAATCAACCAGAGTCAAATGAACTGCCAACATAAGTAAAAGATAGTGGATTTCCCTCTATATGCATTTTTATATTCATTAAAACATCTAATAATACTCTCATGTTGTCATGATGCTGTGGTTTTCCTTTAATGCAGTTTGATACGCCCTTCACTAAAAGGCAAAATCAAGACTCATCAAAATTTAGCAGCTGAGAATCTCTACTGAAGACAATCAGAAATATTTGGGAAGATTTATTTCAACATCTGAAGCAGCGAAGAATATTTGCCTTCATAGACTCTAGCAATGATTTTGAATGAACCTGCACATGCCACATTTTAACCTGTTAATGAGGATCATGTGGGTGAAATAAGACTTTTCTTGTCTTATTAATTCAAATGCCAAACTAGGCACACTGACAGTTTGCTTATTAAACTGACTCCAGACTCACTGTGCACAGAGATCTATGGACTACACTTTGTTTACTTTACAAGAATCTTGTTTTTGTTTAAAAATTTCTTACTGAGATGTTTATTTAAACTGAATTTCCACAGTGAGAAAAAAGATTGTTAAACAGAATTCTGCACTTTACATGAAAAACACCTTGTAAATATGGATTATCCTTCCATATATTAACTATGTTAATAAACTCACATTGCTAAATATGTAATTAATACATGATCAAATATCCTGGAATGTCCCCTCTTCTATCTGATTATATGAACCTAATCAACTTTCTATGATTAATGTAAATCCAACTTCATTTCTGAATTCACACACCCCATTTCAGCCTGGGCGAATCTCTCCCTACCCCAAACTCATAATCATTATGATCTTATCTAGGAGTCTTAATCAATAAGTCACAATATGCTGATTCATAATTATTACTTTGAAGTGTATCACACAAAATTTACTACTAGTCCTGTGTCTAGATAGTATTTGTCTAGATAGATATGTGTTGAATAGATGATAGGTTAAATAAATGAATAAGTGAACGAATAAATAAATATAGAATAATAAACTCAAAGTTGATAAATTTAATTTTTAACAAAAACAACATATGACAAAGCTTGTTCCTCTAATGAAGATATTTTTATCACTTTGTCTATTAACATAGATTTTGGCATCATAAAAATCAGGTTAGATTTTGAGCAAATGTCTGTCAGAATATAATAAGTATATATATGAACATGCCCACTGAAGTGTGCCATACATGATGTCACCTTTTTTCAAGAAAAAAAAAAAGTTCAATAGTGTTCAGCGTCAGTGAAAAATATGTACTTAAAAAGAGGGGTAGAAATGAACTAGGACATTTCAGGTTCTAGTCCTGGATTTTCTATCATTTAATGATTATATGACTCTAATTGTCTAAAGGAGATAGTGAAGTAGAAGAAATGTGAAGCCTAAGTATTTGCTGCAGTTTTGTTATTATTGAATATAGTGGAATGGTAGACCTTAAATTGAATAGGAGGAAAGGGTGAATGAGAGAGATTGGATGAAAAGTGGCAGACATAGGTCCGTCCATATTCTTCCCCAGTCTCTTAATAGCCAATGCAGTGATGTCATTTCTTCTGTGTGTCTGAGATCATAGTGAGAGTCCGGGCAGGTAGAAATGGTGTTCATAGATTTCATAGAAGGGGATGTATGTAGAAGTAATAGTAGAGAATACATTACATTTGTATCACTGAAAAAAATGGAAGTCATTCTAGATACATCTCAAATAAATTCTGGCCTTTTCCATTATTCTAGTTTGAACCACACCTCAGGGCAACTCTTCTTCCAAACAAAGTGGAATTAGCGTTGATTCCAGCTCTACTCAAGGTGAGGAATATTCTACTCTACTGTCTTTTACTGTCAACTTGTCACAGAATTCCACTGCTGGCTAATGCTGCATATCGTACAGAGGCGTCTTTGGTCTAGGCTTGTGTATGTTTCCCTCTCATCTGTCATGTTCTCATGGGTGTAAGTGGAGGGAAGAACATCATTGTGGCAGGAGTGAGCCTGCTGAGAATTTGAGCAAGGTGTTCATACCGCTTGCATATAAAACAGATTCTTGCCAAGTCTCATTTCTATTTAACTTTATAATGATGTGGTACTTGGTGTGTATGCCTCTTGATCAACTTAATTCAGTGCCATTAGAACATCATCATTTGCCAACAGATGATGGATCTTTAAAACCCAACAGCAAGTCAGGACAGGAAATTTTTCTCAAAGAAAAACCCAAAATTCTTTTTTTTTTTTTTTTTTTTGATACGAAGTCTTGCCCTGTCGCCCAGGCTGGAGTGCAGTGGTGTGATCTCGGCTCACTGCAAGCTCCACCTCCCGGGTTCAGCCATTCTCCTGCCTCAACCTCCTGAGTAGCTGGGACTACCGGCGTCCACCACCATGTCAGGCTAACTTTTTGTATTTTTAGTAGAGATGAGGTTTCACCGTGTTAGCCAGGATGGTCTCAATCTCCTGACCTCATAATCTGCCTGCCTCGGCCTCCCAAAGTGCTAGGATTACCGTGCGTGGCCCCGAAATTCTTAAAACAAAGCTTTGTGCTCCCAAAGGCTTACTTATCAGGATAGTCTTAATAGGCTCTCTTGTCTTTTGCCCTCTGTAGTTTCAGTAAATGTAAGACTGAGGACAAGAGAAAAGTGAGAGTGGAAATTTTATTTCTCTTGCCCTTTTCCTACTGGGTTAAAAGCCAAAACTCATGGCAGTTGTAGACCCTTGGCTTCTATAAATGTTCCTTCATCTTTTGCCTCGAGGCTTAGAAGTGGTGACAGCTCCCCAATGTTGTTATATTGCTAGTCCTAGTGAAACACACTATTCCATGCTGATATCCTGAAACCCTATCAACACATTTTGCACATGCAGTCATGAGCCTCATCAGAACATTTCAGTCAAGGATGAACCACATGTGTATCAGTGGTCCTATAAGATTATAATACCATGTTTTAACTGCACCTTTTCTATGCCGAGCTATGTTTAGATACACAAATACTATTGCATTACAAATGCCTGTAGTATTTAGTGTAAGAATGCCGTACAGGTTTGAAGCCTAGGAGAAATAGGCTATGTCAAATAGCCTAATGTATAGTAGGTTATAATTTTTAGGTTTGTGTAAGTACATTCTGTGATGTTCTCACAATGAAAAAAAATCACCAAATGGTGCATTTCTCAGAACACATTCTCATTGTTATGCAACACATGGCTGTAGTTTCTTTAGTAAACTTCTAAATTGTCTAATTGGAATGTGCATGCATATCTTACCAGGATTGTCACCAGTAAGTTAATTTTAGGAAAATAAATGATGCTTCGTTGTATACTCTGATGGTAGAAAATTCAAAATTGAGATTTTACTTTAAAAGAGATGAGATTAACAAATCTGCACATGTATCCTTTGCATGTAAAATAAAGAATAGCTCTATATATATATATATACATTTATTCTAAAATTTTTTAGGATGTAGCGAAAAAAAAGTGCAAGGATGACACCTTTGATCTTTCCATACACACTAATATAAAGGAAGTAGCAGGATAAATATCCACACTTAATTAGGCTGGTAAACAGTATTCTTAGTGAAGAGTAAGAACGTGAAGAAAAAAATTTCATTTGATTAAGAACATAAAGATTGGAGAAGTTAAAGATACAGAGGATTTGCTGCTCAGTCTGGAGGCATGTTGGAAGATGTATTCATGCAGTCTGAAAAGTGAACACATGAAACTATATGAGAACTTTAGAATAGTTACGGATATGACATCTGGATTACTTAGAGTGACTGACAAGGATCTGTAAGAAAAGGTATAGTAACATTGATTCTAATTGTTTCAAACAGATAATGATTGAGAAAAGATAATGGGAGAGGGAAGAGCATCAGTTATCAACAAATGTGCAGAGTTTTTAACAGCCTTTAGACTCGGTAGAGGGAGAGAGAAGGGTGATTATATGGCAAGTGTGGAGTTCTCCTTTGACCCTTTCCATTAAAGACAGTTTGAAGAAATGATATGAAATCTATGCTACCTTTAGGAAGCATTCTTAACCAAAACTGCTCTGAGAAATTACCTCACACAAGTTAAGATAGCTATTATAAAAAGACGAGATGTATGTAGGCAAAGGTGTGAAGGAAAAGGAAGTCTAGCACACTGTTGGTGAAGATGCTGGTTGACACAGCCATTATGGAAAACAGTATGGAGGTTCCTAAAGATATTAAATATACTACTACCATACGACCTGGCAATTCTTCTTCTGGGTATATATATGCCCAAAGGAGATGAAATCATCACCTTGTAAAGCAACCTGCACACTCAAGTTCATTGGAGCTTTATGAATAATAACCAAGAAATGTAAACAACTTGAATGTCTGCTGATGGACAAATGGATAAAAAATATATATGTATACAAGAGAGTATTATTGGCCAGACGCAGTGGCTCATGCCTGTAATCCCAGCACTTTGGGAGCCAAGGCGGCTGGATCACTTGAGGTTAGGAGTTCAACGGCAGCCTGGCCAACATGGTGAAACCCATCTCTACTAAAAATAGAAAAATTAGCTGGGCATGGTGGCACTTGACTGTAATCCCAGCTACTCGGGAGGCCAAAGCATGGGAATCGTTTGAACCCAGGAGGTAGAGGTTGCAGTGAGCCGAGATCATGCCATTTCACTCCAACTTGCATGACAGAGCAAGACTTTGTCTCAATAAAACAAAACAAAACAAAACAAAACAAAAAGTATTATTTAGCTTTAGAAATAAATGCTATCCTACCATTTGCGAAAGCATGGATGAACCTGAAGGACATTATGCTAAGAGAAATATAAAGAAAAATATTGTATGATCTCTCTTATATGAGAAACCTGAAAAAAAAAAGAAGGATCAATATACAGATATAGATAATAAAACAATGGTGACCGGGGTGAGAAGGGGAGCAGGGGGAAGAAAATGGGAAGATGTAGGTCATAGGATGCAAAGAAGCAGATACGTAGGATGAGCAAGTCTAGAGGTCTAACGTGTAGCACGAGTACTACAGCTAATAAAATTGTATTATATTTTTGATTTTGGTTAAATGGATTTCAGCTGCTCTTGTCACAAAAAAGTATGTGAGATGACACATAACTTACTTCACTATAGTAATCATTTTACTATATATATTTAACCCATAACATCATGTTGTAAACCTCAAATACACACAATAAAATTTGTTTTAAAAACATATTTTAAATATGAAGACACATGTAGTTTGAGCATATAAGCATGGGGAACATATACTATATAAACATAACCAAAGGGAAACTAGTGTGACATAATTAAGATTATAGAGAATAGAATTTAAGGTAAGAATAAATGTATCATTTCACATTAATAACATGATAAACTTAACATGAAAATTAAATTAAACTATGAAATTCATGTATACATGCTAATATAGTTTCAAAATATTAAAATAAAAAGATGACAAAAAGATAAAGATAAAAAAGGAGAGGTACACAAAGCCAAATTCCTATTTGGTGCTTTTAAAACTTTTTTGTTAGAAATTAATAAAGCAGAAGGCAAACAGCTAATAAGGATGTAAAAGACTTAAACAATAAGATAATCTAAATAGCCAATTTACAAAATTAGAACATTATATTTCAGATGATAATGTGGTGAATTATATTCATTGATTTGCAAAAATAATCAAGTTTTAGAGAATACATACTCTTTTACCTGCACGTAGACTATTTCCAACAATATATCTGGGCCATAAGGCAAGTGTCTCTCTCTCTTTCTCTGTCTCTTTCTAGAGATAGAAATGATACCGTGAATATTTCCTAATCACTGAAGAATTACATTTCAATCACAAAAATGTAACTATAAAATCATCAAATATTTGGAAATTAAATAATACATTTTAGATACGGAATACATCAAAGTAT